CTGAGAGGCTCTGCCTGCCAGCTGGTATTGTGGGTGTTCAGGAAGTTCGTGGATTGATGAATGGATGAATTATGAAATTCCTTTAGCATTATCTTTGACTAATGAGCCAATGCAGAAAAAACCAGAGCACAGGATCAAAGTTAATGCCACGTGTTAACGTCTTTTTCTACTTTCAGAGTTAAAAGGGGCTAGGTGTGGGGAAGGACCTGCTCTGAGCTGATTCAAAGAGCTTGTTGCCCCTATAGTTAGGGAGCTACACCACAGCTCTACCTCCTAACAGGTTGTTTTGCTGTAAGGAGTCAACCTGGCATGCAGTAGTCTGGCTGGCTATCCTATTGTCAGGCATTTCCCGAGTGTCCTAGAGTGTGCTTTGGTTTGTAGGAAAAAGCCTTTAACAGTGCTTTACCCCACGAATCCTTAGGGGAACCACCTTTTGGGCTTTTGTTCCGGTATGCCTCATACTATTAAATTTGTTACCTCTTAAATCCAGGTTACCTCTGGAACCTCCAAGTGAAACTTCAACCCATAGTAAACCTCTTGCCAGATAAAGGAAGACTGATGGACTTTCTCCTCCAGAGAAAGGAATGCAAGATGGTCATCCTGTCTGTCTGTTCGCAGAGTAAGTGGGTGAATCCTTTGCATAGGTCTGATTCTGTGTTAGGCCTGTGGTGTCCAGCACCTTTTATTGGGAGCTGGGCCACCTTTTCACTCCTTGTCTGTAGCCTGTAGCCCTATTCCTCTTGATGGATGGATTATTTAAGCTCCTGGAAAGGCTACTGAACATAAAAATGCTTTGTAGAGACTTTGGTAGAGAAAACTAAATAGGATGGTTCCAGGTGAAAGCAAGCCTGAACGCACATGAGGGTCCGGAGCTACTATCCCTGGCTTCGGAACAAACATTTTTCAGAATCCAGATCACTGCATATCTACTCTGAGAATCTTCTACTTGTATCTGCCATCACTGTCTCTCTCCAGTAATGAGAAAGGGCTTGTGAGTTGTAGGCTTTAGGTCTCTAAGCTAGATCATTTCTCTGAATGCCCTTTAAAGGTATGTTGGCACTGCTAACCCTTGGAGATTAGTTTTTCTATCATAGCAACATGTTCTGAACCTGACATGAAGTTGGTTGACCTGTGTGAACATTGATTCTTTCCAGTGTTGAGTGAGTCAGACAGAGCAACACTTCCTGTGATAGCCACTGTTTTTGACAAACTCAATCATGAGTATAAAAAGTACCTGGACGCTGAGCAGAGTTACACGATGGTAAGTTATATGAACCATGATGAGGGCTCTTCCACCCCTGTATATTTCTAAGTAATTATAATGCAAGGTCCTAATAGAATGATGTCACTGCACTTTGCTCCGTGCCAGAGGGCAAGGTGGCTATAGTGAAGGAGCAGTAATTTCAGAATCCCTGCATCCCATTAGCTTGAGGCTGTCTCGCTTAATGCCTTCACCTTTTTTAAAATACATTTGATCTTACATACAGATAGCGATCCTTGGTCTTACTCTGTGTTATAAAATTGGTCTCTGCTTTGCATTATTTTATACATGTTTCTGCCAAGCCAGAGTCTGATTTTAATTAGAAATATAATAATTTTGCCATGTCTTTTTAGTCAGTATTCTGTTAATGATGATTAAATATTAGCACCGTGCCTTTCATATAGTAGGCTCAAATGCTGTGAAGGGCTGGACAAAATTAACATGGCTTATTACCAGATTCTGCTATGCCGTTAGTGTATCATGTGCTCTGAAGTGAGAAAAGTTTAGGACAAGTGGAATGAATGATTTCACTTAAACAATCTCATTAGTCCTAAACAATTAAAAAACCCAGAACTACACTGACTTTTAGCTACTCAAGGATAACAGGACTGATGTGGGCTGCTGAAGGGTCAGCGGGTCCCTGTCCTGTCAGACATGGGGGAGAGGGCAGGGCTGAGCTCTTCTGGATCCTTCTCTTGGTCCTGCTGCTAGTACACTGGGCTGTGGGAATCAGGTCTGATCTTAAATGGCAATTTCTATGCATCCCTGCTCTGTGGCTCCTAGACTTCATAAACCTTTGCTAGTCAAGAGTGTGGTCAACCACGTGTAACATTAGAGCACCTGGCACTTAGAAATGGGGGTTCTCAGGCTACCTGCCACAGCTCTTGCAGAATCTGCATTGATCTCACCTTCTTTAAGTTAGGTTGAGGTAGTCAAGATCCCCTCAGTTTTCCCATATAATATTTCGAGAGCCTTGCTTACCATTTAAAAATCTAGATGTAGACTCATTACATGAAGCATTCACTTAAAGATCAGGGCTTCATCAAACAAAGATGCAGCAAGCCATTCTATTTTTATTAAATAACAAAGGTCAGATAGTCTATGGTTAAGGAAATTAGATAGGGAGCTGTTTTAAGAAGTTGAAAACAGTGTGATGTCCCTTAAGAGAAAATTGTGACATGTTTTTTTTAGTTCCATCCACCATGAACATTAGTCTATTTTCAAGATGACCAGCTGACTTTCTAGAGCAAAGGAAAAATAGTTTTTTCCAAGTAGTGAATTAAGTGTATTGCCCTTCTCAGAGTTGAGCTTCATAGCATCTAGGAATTCAGTCTTGTTGGATTAACTGCAAACACACTATTACCTAGAAGAAGATTAAGATCCCACTTGTAATTTCTTGCTTAGGCAGTAGAAGCAGGGCAAAGCCGGAGCAGTCCACTTCTCAAAAGGCCGGTGCGGACCCAAGCTGTGATCGACCAGTCTGACATGTACACCCATGTCCTGTCGGCATTCACAGAAAAGAAGGTAGGTGACAGCTTATCAGGTGCTTCAGGACTAAGGATTCTCAAGACAAAGATCTATTTGAAGGGAACTGAGGACAACTAGTAGAACTCAGTGTGATTCGAATAACTGGATCTTTGGCGAAGACCTAGTGCTACTAGTTTGGCTTCTAATATTCAGGCCTAAACATGACCATCAATGGGGGAGGTTCTAGAGGGATTTGTGCAAAACCAGCGAAATAGAGCACTGGGCCGGTTTCATATGGAAACAAGGTGGGGAGATAATGAGGAGTGTACATGTCGCTTCCTTTGCAACTCTGCGATGTTTCTAAGATTATTTTTGTTTTCTCCATAGGAGATGCCTCATAAATTCGTGATAGCCGTACTGATGGAATATATTCGCTCTCTTAACCAGTTTCAAATTCCAGTACAGGTACCTTCCAATCAGCATTGGCGGCTTCAAGTTAGAGGAACAAGGAATATTTTTTTAAAATCACAGTACTGTCAATATCTTACCTAAGATGACTCTTTTTATATGGTAAAAGTGTCTGCGTGCCTGACTCAGAATTCTGAGTGACATTTCAGACATTACCATGTTGTTCTTAGAATGAGTAGTCTCGTATCAAGTTGGGTCCTTTCACCTGCACACTGAACCCACTTCTCTTAATAATGGACACTTTTACTCATCAATTAGAATAGCTGCAGCCCTCGACAAACCTAACCTTGCGTCTGCTGTAGTTGACCGGTTTGGCAACGTCTTCCCTTCTGTTTTTGTCCTCAGCATTACTTACATGAACTTGTCATCAAGACGCTTGTCCAGCACAACCTCTTCTACATGCTGCATCAGTTCCTGCAGTATCATGTCCTCAGTGACTCAAAGCCTTTGGTCTGTATCGCCAGATATTTGCTTTTCGTGATTAGAAACTTAAAATTTAACCTTTCCACATCTTATGCTGAATAGTCTGAAAATTCGTTTTTCAGGCTTGTCTGCTATTATCCCTAGAAAGTTTTTATCCTCCTGCTCATCAGCTGTCTCTGGATATGTTGAAGGTAACTGATACATCAGAGTTTTTTAAACTGAGTAAAAGTCTGTTCTTGTTTCTTGCATTTATCTGGACTTTTCTCTTTCTAGCGACTTTCAACGGCAAATGATGAAATAGTAGAAGTTCTTCTTTCCAAACACCAAGTGTTAGCTGCCTTAAGGTTTATCCGGGGCATTGGTGGCCATGACAACATTTCTGCACGAAAATTTTTAGATGCTGCAAAGCAGACTGAAGACAACATGCTTTTCTATACCATATTCCGGTTTTTTGAGCAGCGAAACCAGCGTTTGCGAGGGAACCCTAATTTCACACCAGGTGAGAATACAGTAGCAGTGAAAAGATCTGGGGTGACCAGACTCAGTAGCAAGAGAACACTGGCAGCAAGAAGCCTTTTGGTCAGAACTCCCGAGTTAGTTTTTAAAAAACAAAATGTCTTAACAGCCCACCAAATCCTTAGCCCATTACTAGTAGTACAAGTGAATTCGCTATGCTAGTAGACCTAAATTATGCTCTGGAACTTGGTGTGTTTGGGGAAGAGAGACATATTCAGGGCCCAATTCAGGAAGTCTGAACACAGCTCATATGTCTGACACCTGTTTTTGGAATGTCCTTTTCTGAAGAATCAAGAACAGAACAGGAACTGGTGGCTAAGGGTTTTAAATGGCCTGGGGCTTACTGTTTCAGTTCTAGGCAGGGAACATTGACAAATCATTCTTATCTCCAAAATTATGATACCTAAGGCATCTTCTTCCTTAGGATGGGGAAGGAACATAACTTTTTCTAGCTTAATCAGTATACAGTGGTAAGATAGTACCATGACAGGTTAGCTTCTCTGCTTGTTTCTCAGAGCAGATGGTTCTATAATGGAATGAGCTGTGCAAATAGGACAATTCGAAAGCTTAGGAAAACACAGTATTTTATGAAAAAAATAAGTTAAAACCCAGTATATAAAACTATGAGCTGCAAAGTGTTCATCCTCTTCTTCTCTTCTCTTTGTGCCACATGTAAGAGATTAAATCTATTTTCCTTTATAGGAGAACACTGTGAAGAACATGTTGCTTTTTTCAAACAAGTTTTTGGAGACCAAGCTCTAATGAAGCCTCCAACGTTCTGAAATCACTTGCTAGTTTTTTTATATATATAAAAATGTGTACAAAGTTAATTTATTGCATTAATAAAGCTCTTTAAACTACAAAATGTTATAATAAAGTATATTTGCAACATTCCGAAATTTTACTAAAAATATGGTTTAGAACTTGTGTGAAGGCTTACTCCTAAAAAAAGGAGAAATGCTGCATTGATTGGCCTTTTAAAAATGTCAGTGAGCAGGTCACATTCATAACCATCCTAGTGTCAAACTTCCGCTTGCTGAAAAATTAGATTTCATTCCTGGAGAACTGGAAGATGCTTAGAGTGTCCTAGGGTTGCCTTCAGATTTAGTAATACTGCTTCACAAGTCGGATTTGCATTCCTGAGTTTAAAAGCACTACGGCCAAAGCTGCTGCTGTTAAAACCACTTGAAGTCTGATAACACCAACTGTTCAACTTAGCCTTGGCAATGCAGCTACTGTCCAGTGGTGAACTGACTGACCCGTAGACAGTTGAAAGTCTCCAAACTCTGTAAAGGGTTAGAAATTGAGGAGTCGTTCTCTCTCTGTACCTTGATATCGCTCTTGAGTAGCCAAACTTTTGGCTTTATTTATTGATGGTCCTGTGAGGGATAAAAAGAATAAATTTTATATTGTTTCTTCAGGAGAAAAGGGGATAGTTTGTACTATAACAGAACCACCTTTTCCATCCCCAAGATTAAAAAAAGCCAAACCCCTCATTTTCTCGATTTCAGTGCTTCAACTTAGTTACAAAATATAAATCAAATTAGTACTATTCTCCTTTTAACTGTAAGTCTTATGAAAGCTGAAATGGCCAAAAAAGATCATATGGATAGTCTCATCAGGAGATGAGTAGCAGAGGCAGTGTTTTGCTAGAACAGTGAATCAGGGAAGGAAAAGCTGTTCTATAGCACTGCTGAGTTGTGACCCGGCTGTCAAGTCACTCAACGGCATGCATCTCAGCAAAGAAGCCACCTGGGTTACTGACAGACTCATTCACGGTTGGACTTCAGTGCCTTGTTCAGCAGACAAGTCAGGCCTCCAGAAAAAGTATTAGCAGCTTACTCATTAAGTGGTTTGAACAACTGAAGCCCCTGGGTAGGATATTTTCTCAGAAATTTTTTTACTCAGTAATATTTATCAAATGACCATTAATATAAGTTCAAATACTTCAAAAGAATGCTTCAAGATATCAATTCTTTAGTCATCCCACATGTTTAAAAATTAGAACTCTTACCTATATAACTGAGTAAGACAGGGAGGAATATTAATCCATGACTGGCTCCCAGCAAGACCATAGCTAAATACATCCTGAAGTAAAATATCTGGAAAATTTGAGATTTGGCAAAGGCCAATACCACAATCCCTCCAAACTTTGTAAGTGTGATTCCACTGAATACCTAAAAGAGAGACGGTAGTAGAAACCACTTTTATCAACTTGTTATAATTGAACACTTCCTAATACAGAGATTTAATAGTCAAGGTCAAAATTCACAGGGACTGAACCTCAGCTTTCAGAGTTAACGATAAGGGGCAGTATGTTCCACCTAAAACTGTTTCACTTGCTGCTTGTGAGCCTGAAACAAAAGCTTTATAAGGATAAAAGCTATGTATTCTGCATAGACACTATTCTGTCTCTAAACTGAGATTATATATATTCTTAGATGAGAATTTTAAGTATCTAAAATTTTATTTGAAAAAGTTCTAGTTGTTACTCTCTAATACTGTTTTCTTTAGTGGTAAAGTGATTGGTTGATAGGCTAAACCAGGATATAGAGTTGAACAAGGAGACTCTCCAGATGACCACAGATTGCTCACTGGGCTGAGTGTGGCAGCTCCCTAGTTTTTGCAATACGGTTGGCCTGTGTTTTAAATGGAAAAAGCTGGCTCGCTTAAATCCAACTTCTCTGTTCTCTTCCTGCTTCAGCCATACTGCCGCCTACAGCAGGAGTCACCAAAAGGAACAGTTCTAAAGAGTTTAGGATATACCTATTTCATGAATGGCCTGAAAACCTGTTATCCATAGGAGCTGCTGCTAAGTAAAAGATCCAAATTGTTTTCCCTATTGAATTTTAAAGGTCCTTCTGAGAAACACTCGTGGAGCTGGGCCCTGTACACTGAAATTTCTGCCCAAGTTACTTACAGAACTGCCCATGTGAGAGAGTGCCTCTTCTGCCCGTTCCACACGGCTTCCCTTCGCACTCACTGTGAATGCTCTCGTTATGTGGCTGCAGAACTCCACGGAAATGCCACAGCTCTGAAATACAGCGCTACCATTACAGTCGGTCCTCCCTAGTTGGAAGTTATAAGCAGCCACCCCCCCTTTTCCAGAATCTGTGGTTACCAGGGCACCCTGGGTAGTAGAAGTGCCCTAAGAATCCCCTTTGATGTGTACTGTAAAGCCCCCATCACCTCAACTTAAATGCACCAGGAACTTGTGGAACACTTTAGACACAACATCCAATGCTTCAGTTTGTACAGATGTGCCTTTATCCGGGAAAGCTGCTGCAACCTCTTAAGGTTACCCCCACTGTCTACTGAGCCAGCACACTGTCACTGTCACCATTTCTTTAGTTGGGCCTCACTGCCCTTCCACCTGAAGCAGTGTTCATATCTGAAGTACAGATGCACTGTTTCTATTTCCATTAATACCTTATCGAATGCTCACATCTTCAAGACTATTAAAAGTAGCTGGCAATTGTATGGGAAGCAAAAAGTACTGATCAGAGAATCCCATCCGGGATGGGGCATTTTTTTCTAAATAAAAAGTGAATAATACCTTGTTGTGAAAGGCTAAATGTTTTTACAAACATTTCAGGCAAAATATCCAAGTTAAATCATAAAATGATGTTTTCACTGTTGTATTATCCAGTCCCAACTCCACCTAGTCCTCAGTCCCTCTGAACTTGGTCTTTTACCCCGAGAAACAATTCACATAAGTGGCAGGAGTTTGGGACAAACTGAGTGGACCAGGACTCACCATAACCAAGTTGACCAAGGAAACTGCATTCAGACTGATGCCCCACAGCCACATGATGCCAAACATGTCGACTAAGATCATGGCGATGGTGACACACATGATCACTGCAGACCACAGCTCACAGCCCAGGAGAACCACAGTCACCAGAAAGATCGCTCCCAGGGACACGCAGAGGTTAAAGATCGTGTCATCGATAATAGTCAGGTACTGTTCGTAAAAGACATAGAACACACTAGAGAGAAGGGAAAAGATTTCATTATAGTCCGTTCTCACTTCTATCTAGAAGCTCTACTTTTTATCCTGCCACTACTGCAAAACTGTAAGAGTACTTTTAGAGACACACTTGCAGAAAACCTGTTTTTTACAAGACTCATCTACAGTAATTCAACTGGACTTCTGATTGACCACTGACACCAAAGGGCCTAATAAATGATCCAAACTGTGTATTTTATATAAAGTTTTTGTTCATAATCCCAATCTATTATACTTTATTATAGGCATTTACAAAGAATATACCACGGTATTTTGGGAAAACAAGTCCTGATCTATTCCCAGAATTACCTCAGGCCAAGTGGGGTCTGTGCAGGACCTGAGAATTTTGTAAAGTTAACAAGCTCTTCCCAGGAATTAGGACACCCACTCTGAGAACTTCTCCCACAGAACCACAGGCTGTCCCCCTGCCAAGAACAGGTCAAGACTCCTTTATGCAAGATCACAGGGGTGAGGAAAAAAAACATTTATTTATTCTACTTTTCTGTATTTTACAAATTGAGTATTTCATGTGTAATTTCTTTTTATCAAGGAAAAAAATCAAAAAAGAAAAATCTCCGTAAAGGCACTGTCTCAACTAATCAGCAGTCAGGGACGTCCACTCAGCTACACTCGGTGAAGCCAGGTCTCCAGGCAACCTCCCTTGTGCTATTCCACAGTGGGTGTCTTTCACAGTGAGCTCCAGCCCGGAGACCAAATGTTTTGTTTCTAGCACTCAGACCTCAATAGGTGCTCCAGATTCTGGCTCCCCTCACTAGGTGCCATCTCCCTGGACATACCTGGCTTGTGCTCATGATGAAGATGGCAGAACGAAAGCCAAGCCTCAGCATCCATCTAGGGAGTCCCAGGGTGTGGGCCCTTCCCTAGGACACCCTCCTTTGTACAATTTACACTTACCTGTATGGGAATACATGGTGGTTACTTCCTTCCTGGCTCATGGTTTTGGTGATGTTAGCAGCGATGAGGCGAGCTTTTCTCATGGCGTCAATAAAGTCAGCAGAGGTCTGAAGCACGGTGTGGTAGGTCATGAAGTACGTGGCTCCGACACTCGTGTCATTACCAAGGATGTTAACTGCTGACCCATAAGCAGCATGTCCCCTGAGATGAAGACTCGTTGGTGTCAGAAAATCATGCCTTGCATAAACTTGCAGAATCTGAGCACTCAAGGCTAAGTGAAATCATCTGACCCTGGACTCGGAGGTCAGACCCAGCTCTAAATATCTGGGATAGAGAAGGCTCTCTAAAAGGGAACGATGAAGGTTTTAGCTTATTCTCACCCACGCTGGCTTTTCTTTACTGTTTTTGGTTTCTTTGGTGCATAGCTGCTATTGTTTCTATATCCAGCCTTGCTCCCCAACGTGCTTTCATACAGAGTTTGCTCAGCAATGTTGTGTAACAGGAGGTGGAGAAGGGCAAGGGTCCTGGAGTGAGACAGCCATGAGATCGGCCTCAGCCCTGCCACGTATCGGCAGCGGAACCCTGGACAAAGTTACTGGATTTGGGCTGCAGCGTCATCTTCTGCGAATGGGTGTACCACCACCTACTCTCAGGGCTGTGTGATGAGTAAGTGAAAAAGTGTCAAGGAGGTGCCTGGCATGATACTGGCACGTAGGAGGCTGCCTGAAAGTGGTGGCTATTGCCTTCATAAAAGCTGAATTCACTTGCATTTGTTTTATGTAGGCCAAAGCATTCAGCCTGCAAGTAGACCAAGGTGCAAAATTTGTTCTTATTTTATTTTTAGGGATAGTCTTCTCATAGTACTTAGTATAGGTCTCAAAACGCAGACACGATTTTTATGACTAATATATGATGGGACTCTGGTCAAATTATGGATTCTTATGAAAAACAGGGATGTCCAGGGTTTACCTAACATACACGTGAACACTCATTTTTCTCCTATAAAAGCTTCCAAATTACCCCACCCCAGACTTCTGGTCATTCTGGGCCAAATATCCTGTTTCCATGGGTAACTGGCTGCCTGGTTGAAAGAAAGCCCATAGTCTCATATATGGACAAGCTGGCAAGAAGCACAGTGGGGCTAAACCAATCTAAACCTTAATCTAGGATGATATCACCAAAGCTGAGATGTTGTCCCATATGCCCATGGATACAACCGAACAGCTCCTCTCACCTTCTGAAATGCCATGTGTTCCTCCTCCCCCTCCACCCCACTAGTAACCTGCACAGGACTCTATCCATTCAAACAGCCAGGAGGACCCGGACGTACAGAAAAGTGTAAGAAATGACTGCTCAAGCCAGGATGAAATCAAGTGAAAATAACAAGTTTTCTATAGAGCTGTTTGAGAGATTTCTTTGCTTTCACAGAAGAATCGGAACAGGGTAGGAAGCGGGTAGGAAGCGGGTAAAGAAGATCTTTCCCACAACTGTTTCTATACCCCAGCTCTTTCCTAGTGTTCCAGTGCAAATTAAAGGGAAAGTGGGCATGCACCTGAAGGGCTCAGTGGCACTTACCCTTTGCCACACTTGGGATTCGGGTTATCAGAAAGGAACATGGGCAGGAATCTCATGAAGTCTCCACCCTGAGGCCTCTGTTTGCCCTCGGGAGTCAGAGGCCTGCAGCGGATGCAGGTAGGGTCAGCCACTAGCAGAAACAAGCGGGAAGGAGCCAAGGTGAGAGAAATGGGTCTCCAGGTGTCACTTGAAAACATTTAAAAATATTGATAATGAGGGGAATTATTTCCCTGAATCTTTTTCCTTATCCAAAAGCTTCCAACGCATGTGATTTTCATGGTCTAATAAATCTGAGATACCATCTTCACCTTAGGGAGGCCGCGCAAATTTTCTTCCTTGAAGCAGGTTTTCTGCTTTAAGGACAACCTCAGTTAGTATCATCAGAACCCAGAGCTTCCAGGTTTTTAATCAAGAAAATTCCATGACAACCTCGACACTCTTACAAAACCGTAGGGCAAAGGAAAACACACCTATGAGAAGCAACGGCCAGATCAAGAGAGGCGATCGGTGTCATTGGGAAAAGATGAGCAACCTGAAAGCTCTGAAAACTAGGGTCCCCGGACTCAGACCTTGTTCAGCCTGCAGCCCCATGGGGGGCTGTCAGAGACAAGGATAACACAACCCTCTTCACACTGAGGAAAGGGATGACAACAAAGGGAATGAGACCCAGCTTTGGCATATAAGTAGGTATACACTGAGGTGAAATGCAATGAGTTTTAAACTACATTGTTAAAATTTTTCAGAAAAAAGGGAAAGATTTGGAAAAGGAGATGAAAGTACCTGAAGCGTTGCAGAACTGGTCAGTGCCATTGTAGACTCTACAGCAAGAAGACTGTGGCTTAATCCAATCAAAGTAATCGTCAATCCAGGATGAGGGAGCAAAGCCTATCCGGGTACTAAAGAGGAGAAAAAAATCACTGACTTGTCCCACAAGGAAAATGTCTTTAGTTTCAGTCCTTTTTCTTGAAACCTAACTTCCTTTCCAGACTTTATACTGCTAACCAGTCAAAAGACAGATTGAATTAGCACTTCATGGAAAATCCTCAAAGTATAAGGTAGTAAATTAGTCCTTTAAAGGTTTTACTCAGGTAAAGCGGGGTTCAGTATACATCCTGAAAAACAAATCTCAAGGAAAATCTGTTTTCGGCGAGAAATTTCAGGTGGTATTGACTGGCTGAGAGCCCTGCCTGGCTGCTGCCACTGCAGTGCAGGGAGACGGGGTGGCACTGACTAGTTTTCCAGCTCGGCCGCGTTGAAGATCTGCTGCACCAGGGAGTCGCTGTTGCAGCCCACGCCCCCGCACACCATGTTCTGCCCTGCCAGAGAAGTATAGTTGTGCCCTTCCTCCAGGACAAAGTAGACGGGTGGGCCTGCATGCAGGTACTGACTGAAGGACTTGAAATAATCCATCACGTAGGAGTCCTGAAAGAGAGATCAACGATGGGATAAAATGAGAACCTACTGACAGTGTCTACGTGAGATGAGATGACAAAGAATTAGAAGGGCACCAGGAGGTTCCCGGCCAAGATTCAGAATTCCCTACAGCCAGTCCCCCCACCTCACCCTCCCGGGGCCCAGGTGCTCCCCTGGCTGGTCCCACTATGAGGAGGGCACCTCACAAGGTAAAAGGCTGGCTGCTCGAATTCTGTGGCTATGCCCCAGAGGGCTGTCTGAGAGTTCAGAAGGCCAACGTCACACTGGCAGAGCTTTGTGGCAGTTCTTATAACATGAAAGATCCTGCGAGTGCTTGCCTTTAGAAGCAGGCATTAGCCTGAAACACGGGGTCAGTAGGGCTTTGAGGTCAGGGCCTGGTCACTTGATATGCAGAGCTCTCTCTAGCGGGGGGCGGTCTGTGGCTCATCTCAGGGGCAACTAGACTCAGATGCCCCCATGTTTTGAAAAATGTATTCACCACTGGAATGAATTAGATAAAAAAGAAGGCGTCTTACATCTGGCACTGAAAGAGATTGATCCAATCCAATTTCTACTTTGTTCAGGACTGCAATACTGAATGACAGAACACCCATGAATACTGCTATCTGGAATGAAAAGTGAGTTATAAGACAGCAACTGCTTAGAGATATAATGACCTAAAGAACATAAATAAAATCTTAAACACACACATAAAACAGGACTTTTCTAAACTGAAAAGGAAGTTTAAATGACATGCTAAGAAAGCAAGGAGTACAGGGTAGTGGCTGAGATCACAGCATCTAGAGTCAAATCTTGGTTCAAATCTTGGTTCCTTCCCTTATGAGCTGAATGACCCTGGGAAATTCACTTAACTTTTCTTAGTTTCTATTTTCCTCATCAATAAAACAGAAAAATAAGGCTTATAACATCTGATAGTTTTGTGGACTAAATGAGAAAACTCTAAGGATAACCTAGATTTTAGCATAGTACCCAATATTTAGCACAATACCTGATATCGAGTGTTCAATAAATATTATGTACTGCTATTACTTTTACTATTATTAGAAACTAATATTTGTTCTTTTAGTAGAGAAGTGATAGGTGATCACTGTTGGCTCCATCCAGTATACATGTTATAAAAAGCTCTTGCGTGGTTGCTGAGGACCAGGGAAAAAGGGTGGTATAGGGAGGGGAAGGCAGTGGGTAACGCTACAGAGGTGCAGCCTGAGGGAGACTGTTGTGGTGATGGATCTTGATGGCCATGGTGGTTACACAAATCCACACATGTGACAAAATGACATACACCCTACCAAAGTCACGCGCTCTCGACCAAAGAGACACACACTCCACCAAAGTCAAATTCCCGGTTTTGATACTGAACTACAATTATGTAAGACCACAGGAGGAAGTGGGGCGAGGGGTGCCTGGGTCCTCTCTGCTATCTTTGCAACTTTCTTTGAATCTGTAATTATTTCCAAATAAAAACTCAAAAACTCTTACTTATATGCTACAAGCTAGCTAGAAAAACATTTTATGTATTTGTACGTTATTTGCTTTTATGTTTTTGTATATGTGCGTAACAGATGTCAGAATCTCCTCCCCAAGCTATCTTATTCTTAGAAGGCTTATGACAAATCTGTTTTGGGGAGAAAAACATGCAAAACCACAGATTAGTTCATACCACAATTGGTCGCATCCAGTCCTTAAGCAGAAGTGGAGAATAGGAGTTTTTGAAGAAACGAAACAAGCAGCTCTCTGAGGCCTGGATGCCTGTTCCATCTTCCGCACCTCTGACACAGCAAAGCACGTCTAGCCGGTTTTTCTGAGGGTACAAAGAGAAACAAAGGCCACATTTTCTAGCTGCTTCAGCTAGACCAGACTCAAATGAAATAGACTGTAATTCTGATAACAACTTACCTCTTGACGCTTAATGTCTAACCCCAAGAGACTCACAAAACAGGTAATCTGAAGAAGGAAGTCAATGAAGACTGCCATTCCCGCAAACAGAGAGAAAGTGTGAACGGCTGGCATCATTGACAATGCTCCTGCAGGGAGAGAAAAGCTGCCACATCACTTCCATTTATAGTAGACTCGTATCACTTCCATTTATACGAGTCTTAGATTCATCTGTACATATAAATACAAGGAGCCAGAACAGGCCAAACCCATGAGAAGTCCCCCACTCTCCCCATCAAAGGTATGCTGCAAAAGTCTGTGGATGTCACGCCAGAACTGGAGAAGGGTCTATAATCCCAGTGTTTTTCAAAATGGTGTCAGCATTAGAACTACTTGGGGAGTTAAAAATGTAGGTTCCTGGGCCCCGGCCCCATCCTACTTAATCAAGACAGTGAGAATTCAAACTCAATTCTCGTGTATTTAAACAGGCTCTCCCGAAAAAACTATGCACATTAAAATTTGAGAACCATTAATATAGACCATTTCTTATAGTACCTTCTGTGCTTCACTCTGAGAGAGGGACAGACAGTATTTTCCATTTGCTATCATAGCAATGCCATCAGTCTCCCAGTTTAGTTACAATCAAACGAAGGTGCTCCAAGTCAAAAGCACAGGGTAAAGACACAGAAACTGAAAACTGGTGGCTATGGGCCAGATGCATTGTTTGGCC